GATCACCACACGTCATTTGGGTCTTTTTTTTTTACCAAACGCCCCCCGGTTCCCCCCTGCTCACCTGCCCTCCCTCAAAAGGCCAAGCCGTCCTTCCGCCCGGAAAACACGTAGGAATTTGAGAAAGCCCTCCACAGGGTATTTCCCCCCCAAAAAAACAAAAAAGACCCGCCCTGGCCCCGGGGGGGGGGGGGGTTGCCCCTTATGATGGCCTTTACGGGGTGGCTCCGCCCAAAAGGGGTACCATTTTCAGGCCTTAGGTGTATGAAACGGTAGGAATGTCACGAGTTGAGGTATGTGAATAGACTGCTAGCAGTCCGCCTTTTCTCTTTAAATCCGTCCAGTTCTTATCCCAGCCAGCGAGGTTGCAAACAATGGCGTTACAATAAGGGATTGGGACAAGACGAGCGAAAACAATAAGAGACTGCTCGCAATCTAGTATGTGAAAGGGTCGGGAAATCTGTTTTTTTATTTTTACTGGTAATGCTACCTGGTGCCTTTGCATCAAGTCCGTGACAGATTTTCTTAATTCTCCCTTCACAGGCAAAGCAAGTGTTTGAAAAAATTTGTCCTGATGAAGAGTTTCTTCAAGCAGTTCCTAACCCTGAAGATATTATACTTGACGACTTCTTACAAGATGGGAATCAAAATGCCGGGGCCGAGCCTGAAGGTGAAGCACATGCTGATGCTGTGGTGCAAGAAAGTACAGAGGAAGAGTCTTCATCAGCAGCGATGGTGGAGGAGCAGGATCGCGTAACCAGCGAAGGTGCTGATGGGCGAGGCGAAGAAGATGCAGGTGTTAAAGACGAGGATCCTGCTTCGGGTGCATCTCAGGAACAAAGGGAAGATGATCAGGAAAGCAAACAATCCCGCAATGAATGAAGCTGTCAATCATTCCACTGAATGACGCTGTCAGTCATTAGCAGTGACTGTGCCTCAAGATTCGAAGGTTGAAGTGAATCTGTAGCCAAATTGCTTCAGGTCACCGTTCGTTTCTTCTATTTGCCAAAAAGTCATTTCTCCATTTGACAGTTTGGTCAATCACTTGATTTTGTAACTGATGTCTGAAATAATACTTCAACTAAAGCTCATTTTACGATTCACAGGAAAATCAGGATATGTAGGAGAAACTAGAGGATGATGTTTCAGCTGAATTCACACTTTTTATGTTGTCACTGTAGCGAAACAGATGCGCAGCGGAAAGACTTAATAGCGAAATGATTTCATGGTTGTCACTGTACTCGTCCAGTGAGACTGCAATTACGTAACTCTGTTTAATAACCTGAAAGGTTTAAAAACTGATTTACTATGGATGAATTCTTATGGTGTGACTATTCGATTGAAACATTTTTCTGTTTCTATGTTAATATGATAAAATGTGCAGGATAAAAAAGATATTCCTCGGGAAACAAATCCTTGTAATTGCCTTGTAGTAGGTAGCTTATGGGCGGACCCAGTGGCGAACGTAAAACAGTTAGTTAACTCATTTATCTCGTTAACAGTTGTATTGAACAAGAAAAATATTTTGGGTGAATATTCTTTGTTCTTTAAGCTAACTACGTGAAACTATCTACACCTCGAAGGAATTAGCTTGTATCGAAACGACCGATAACCCTAGCGAAAGTGCAGAAACCTCAGAGCAAAGGCCATGTGTAGCTCCATCGAGCACGTACACAGCGTAATTGCATCTCAAATTTTTTGTTTTTCTGATTTCGCGGTTTTTCGCGTCCACAAAACTAATTTTTGATATCATTTATAAACAGTTTCTGCTTTTTTACCGACGCTTGACCAACTCAAAGTAATCTCGGTCAATTAGACAAACTGTGAACCAACCCTAATAGATCATAGCACATGGTTGGTGACCAATCAAATCAGGGACGCTAACAAATTAATATAAGTTGAATTAAGATGCTCGGAACAATAACAAGCAAAACGTAGGTACAATTTAGTACAAATAGAACTGAAAATCAATGGTTTAAGGGAAAATATTGTCATTGATAGTGATGAAGCCAGTTTTTTTTTTTACGTTTACTAAATGAAATAAACTACATCTCGTAGATATTAGCATCGTTATTAAGAATAATTACATTTTCCACTGCTAACACTGCTGGTAGTCTGGAGGACTGTGGAAGTCACAAATATCCAGCTTAAAGACCCAATGCAAAAATGGATGTTGGATTTATATTCTAATTAGCCTGCGGACTAGCCTCGTTCTTCTGTACAAAATTCAAAAGAAAACATTATCTCAAGCGAGGCTAGTCTGGATAATTTTAATTTTAACATGAGAATATTAATCCAGCAGCTATGTTTGCATTGGGTCTATTGATAATAGTACGACATTCTCTTCTACCGCTTTGCGGAACACGGGAAAACCCTCGGGATAAGGCTGCCCTCGGGCGATGTTCAGTCAGTATCGACTCGCGTGCGATCAAGCAAACGTTCGTTCATGTCTTTTACTCCTATACTTTAGTAACACCGCCGTTGTACCTAATGGGGAAGCCCTTAGCTTAGCCTTTTATCCCAAGGAGGCCTGGAAAGGGCACTACCCTTTTTTAACCCAAAAGGATACAGTTGACTCCCAGCTGTGTACCGGCAGTATGGTCCTTAACGGGGAGTTTCTCTCTATATATAAGGTTTACCTAAAAACCCATCGAACGGCCATAAATCGGCCAGTGGACTACAAAGGAGAGACATAACACACATTTTAAGTTAGATAAGCTTTTTTTTTATTGAAATCCTTTCATTTTCGTAGGTTACAGAAACGATGGGTTTTTCCCCTTACAAATCATATTTCCGATGTATTTGGAATGTTACGCAACAATGCCGATGCTCATATTTCGAGCTTGGGATACCTGTGTTAAAACACCTGAACAGTGCCCTTACATTTGTACAGTTCAGTGTCTACAGTCAGTACAGCTAGCAAGCTGACAGGAGAAAAAGCAAATCGCGCTGGCTGCTGCAACAAACCAGAAACAGACGGCTCACATCCCTTACGTGCTAAACTTCAGATACCCACTTCATCACTATTGCCTCGCGTTGCATAACTAAACGACCCATTGTGTTTTTTTTTTGTTTTCGTTTTTTTTTTGTCCTCTAAAGCGTTCCGACACGTGGCGGATTATTCTGGAGTTGCTCCCTTTTCCTGTCATCGTTAGACCCGTTTGATAGGGAAATCATATGCCGACCGAAAGCTCCAAAAATTTCACAATACAAAAAAAGAACGCCTTTCAATCAGGGGTAGTCACGCGATTGTTATTCCTTTGTGTTAGTCCTATTCGCAGTGTACTTGGGCTTGCAAATTCTGACCATACTTGATGTGCTGTTTTTTATATAAGTTTCCTTGAAATTTTCACATGATTTCAGCGTGGAAGAGTTTCTCTAGTTCAAGTTACCACTGGCGTGCAACACAAGGCACGTGACTTCGCATAAGCTGTGAGTTCTAGACAAACAAAATGTCAAGATATTAACAAGATATTAAGAGCGATATCTGGCCGGCAAGAAAACAGGCTTCCCATGCGGTTTTTGTGTCCAAATGGAGGAGGGATAAGACAGGATTGTTTTGAATAAACATGTTGGAATTTTCTTTGTGCGGTCTGGATGAACCGGTTATGTAATAGGTGTTTATATTTTTGCATAATAGATTCCATATTTGGTAAAAATGGAGGCGTCGTCCTTACGTCATCCGTTCCAACAAAAAAAACATTTCATCAGCCGATATATTCATTATATAAAGCCTAGAGGATATTTTTTTCCGTGAACAAAAATTACCGGCTTGTAAGCCAGTTTTATTTCAGTACTGTACTTAGGATGAGTCGATCACGGAGGCAACACTCTACTTTGGTTCATTTTGTTGGTGGTGGTTTAGGAGGTTCTTTCGGTGCGTTTGTAACATGTCCACTGGAAGTTATTCAGACCCGACTTCAATCTTCTGCCTTTCATTGTCAAAGAACCGCTGCCAAAATGCGTACAGCCAAGAAATTATCATCAACTGGCCCGTCTGTGAATTTCAGTACAGCCAGTGTCGCCGATACCAAGATAAACATTGCTGCGAATCGCTTCAAAGGAATTATTTCCTATGGCAGATATATGGTCAAACACGAAGGGTTCCTATCCCTGTACAAAGGTCTTGGTCCCACGTTGGTTGGCGTCACTCCATCAAGAGCGATTTATTTTGCTTTCTATTCCAAAACAAAGGACTTTCTGAATAAATCTGGCAAGCTTACCCCCGACTCTTCGCCTGTACACATGATTTCAGCCGCAATTGCGTCCTTTGTAAACCACACTATCACTAACCCCCTATGGTTCGTCAAGACTCGACTCCAGTTGGACCACAGAGAAGCAAGACGGGTCAGCGCTTTCCAAATTGTCCGGGATGC